TTGAGGTGTGATACGGGTAAGGTTAGGGACAGGTTTGGTGGTATGGGTAGGTTTAAGGGTTGGTTAAAGGGTCAACAGTGTACAGGGGTCAGTTTGAAAAGGGAACACGGTTCAATCTGTTTATATTATATTGTTTTGATAAATGAACAAGTATTTTCTTTAAAAAAATGTTTTCCCCTGTTTATTTATGATTCAAGGAATTTCCCATTTAATGATATACTGAAGAGTAGTATACTAATGTGCGTATTGAGCCAATAAAACTTAACAATAAATTTTATTGTTTTAAGAAAACATTTTAGCAAACATTTAGCTATATTTAACCAGCCACCCTTTACACAAACCTTGTTACATTAGCTAAAAGTCCAATGCCCATAAAGATACTAAATGATTAGTAATCATTTATAAAAATTTACAAATGATGAATAGTTTCAACTTTACATTGGCTACTGCAAAAACATGAACAAATGATTAATAGATGATTAGTAAAGATGTATGAATAGGGTAAATTCACGTCTTTCGGGACACTTTTTGCCATTGAGATGACTGCTCATAAAGGTATTAATGATTAGTAAACATTTATAAACATTTGTAAGCATTTCAGTTTACATGAAATAATCATATGTCAATAATTAGGTAATGTTTAGTCAGTTCATTAGTAAACATTAACAAGAACATTATCTGATATTTCTAGCTATGTGACTATATATATATGTAACAACGTTTGTAGGTCGGGAAGAAGGAGGCGGGAACCGGTGAACATTTAAACAAAACTTTAATAAAATAAACAAACACAAAATGAAAGTAAAGCGGCAGCCCCTCGCGGACGACTGCCGCACACAAAACACAAAATAAAGTCCAGGTCTGGTCATCTCTCGTCTTTCACTGTCGTAGCTCCTCCTTTTATCCTTCTGGAGCTCCTCCGTGGGACTCAAGACCGGTGAGTGGTGCAGGTGTCGCTCATCATCAATTACTCCACCGGCCTCGCTCCGTTCCCACGGCTCTCGGCCACGGCCCCACTCGTCACAATATACATTAACTAATGATCTGTTAAGCATTATATAATGTTTGTTAATGATTTATAAATTAAAGTTATTATAAAGTGTTACCCATGAATCAATTTTTTAGCTGTTGGATTGATTAATTGTTGCACCCATATTGGACCTATCATGGCAATTTGTAAATGAAATGTCTGGTGAGCGGCATTAAAATGTTAATGCTCTATCGCATTTGAAAACTGGATCATTCGTTAAAGGGACATTATCCACATGCAGTGACAGAATCAGAAACTTGTGTAATTTGTGCACAAAAGGTTTGTTAACTAAACACTAACACATAACTTGTCTAAACAAATAAACATACAATCACACATACATGGGGGAAGAAGGGTAGATGAGACTGAATGAATGAAACAGGAAATGAAGCTATCAAGGAGTTAGTTAACCACCTGTGCAGAAACCATCAGCGCCGTTTTACAGTGGGGTCTACAAACACATAGTTTGCTTTTTTTTTGGGTGAGGGGGTTTGCTGGATTATTCATTAAATATCATGAATAATTGTGTGGCTGATTGGTCCAAAACGCTCCACCGTTTTAACTTCTACAAGGCTTTGAGCTCTTTAATCGTGACTCATGTTTCACAGGACCCAAATGCTCTTTGTAAATCAAGCATAGTGTTAGTTCTGGCAGATCACGTGAGTGAGCCTTGCATCAGCTGACTCTCACCTGATCCATGTCTACCCATAGGGATACGACGCCTATCATGGCATTCCTATATAAGGTCTATTCAGTATCATTATATCATTGACATGGACTCTTTGCCCACAAATCATCACTGAAGTTGTGCTA